CTGCAGCCCTATGTGCACATGTGACCCTCTCTGCAGCCCTATGTGCACATGTGACCCTCTCTGCAGCCCTATAGGCACATGTGACCCTCTCTGCAGCCCTATGTGCACATGTGACCCTCTCCACAGCCCTATAGGCACATGTGACCCCCTCCACAGCCCTGCTGCCACCCCACATACCTTCCCCTGCCAGCCCTGCAGGCACATGTGACCCCCTCCCCATCCCCTGCTGCCACATGTGACCCCCCTCCCCATCCCCTGCTGCCACATGTGACCCCCCTCCCCATCCCCTGCTGCCACATGTGATGACACAACTGCTGCCACCACCTAGAGGTAGCCGTCCGTATAAATGTAATGTTGTGAGAGCGGCGGCTTCGGACTGTTGATGTTATAAGCGCATGCAACACGAACGCTCGCTGCGGGAAACGTCGAACCACGAGCTCAGCCCCGCGACCGGGAACGAAAACGAGGATCCTGTTTTGCAGCGGCGACAGCTACGACTGGAAGATGCGGGCATCCTATTTGGAAGCTATGAAGGACATGGCAAGGACATGATATATTCATTCTTCTCTATGATGTGGCGTGTGTGGCAGGACAATGCCACGTAATGGGGGGGGGCCGCTACCCCTCTCCCGCACCGCACATATACATACGCAGGCATCACTCAAATAGAATGTACATCACTACAGCAATAATTGCATGGGCTTAGTAACTGTCACCACTCCGAGTGCGAAACCGATCAGAAAAAACATGCACGACATTGTAAAGAAAATTTAAAAATGAAGAAAAAATTAGAAAACGGGAAGATTAGAAACATAAAATAATAAAAAAAACCAACTAAATAAAATTTATGAAAGAATGAATGACAGATGGATAAAATGAAGCAGGAAAGGACCACCGTGTTGCCTGGCTTCAAAGTTTGCTTAGCTGATAGTACACTACAACCAAGGAGCTAAACATAACAAGGAGAGGAAGCGCTGCCATATCTGGCCCAAATTTGGATTCGGCAGAGACCCTAGAACAGATTAGTGTTCTATTGACTCTGGGTTCGGTCTGCACAGCCGTTTCAGCTGATTATGGTCCATAGATGGCACCCTTGAGGCGAAAAGCACACAGCCAAGCCGCTTCCTCGTGTTATATTTAGCTCCTTGACTACAACCAGCCTGCTCACAATACTTATATATTATATAGAAATACCAAGTTTACCAACACATATTAAACACAGCTCATATCATACACAGGTAAAGATTCAATAATAAATATTCAAAAATAAGGTAAAGGTTCAATAATAATGTATGATGTTAAACGTACAAGCATGCTATATAGCCTAGTGCCTCATCTCATTTTTTACAATTTACGACGTGCATGCAAGTGTTGCCCTAACCAAGTTGTTACTCTGTCATTGTATAGCGCATGTTGATAAATCCAGAGAAAATAACATTGTGTCTAACTGTCAAGAAGTATACAGAAACCACAAGTTCTACACAGATGAAGTGCGAATGCGTGCAGTAAAAATGCGAGAAGTCAGTGTTACCCCTGGCCAAAAAGGTCTGTGAAGTATGGTAAATTTTTTTCGTGGGTTTGTGCGTTTCGCGGTCCTAGCAAAGCGAGCACCGCAGGTGCTCCCCCAGATAGGGGGGTCAGGGGGCATAAGCCCCCCCAGAATATTTTTGAAAAAATGGTGCAATATGGTGCATTCTAAGCTATTTTTGTTGATTTTGATCAAAATTGTACAGGATTGGTATAAACCTGTGAAAAGTGCCGTGCCACTCGTTTATTAAGCACACGACTGCCTTAGTAAATCCAAATGAAAACCACAACACATCAACTGTTATGTGGACCATGACTGCAACTGAAATACTGTTGCTGCAACACTACTGCTCTCTAAGCTATCTTCATAACCCCCGAAGTAATGTTATGAAAGTGGTAACCCAAATAAGCATCAAGGCTTTTTTTAAAGAAATGGCTGAATTCACAGTACATATATATCTAAACATGTGGTTGTAATGTTGTAGTGTTTTTAAGCCAGACTACATCGATAGCAACACACATTGGGGAGTTCGGGTGATGAGAGACTAACTATAAGGTAGAAAGTGTGCAGTGACGTGTCAGTGATAACATATGAAAGCATGTGCACGCGCATTTGCATACGTACCACTACCTGATTCCCGTGAGTACTGCAATCTCATCTGGTCGTCCAATTCCTGCAACGAAACAGCCGATCAAGCTTAGTGAGATGGGAGGGAGGGTGGAAGATGAGACTGAGAGAGTAGGGTAGAAAGTTAATGAGAAATAGAGCAAGAAAGGGACGTGGGAGAGAAAAAGAGACAGAGAGAGAGAGAGAGAGAGAGAGAGAGAGAGAGAGAGAGAGAGAGA